GGCTCATGAGCAATAGTGGTTTCGATAGGGATGTCGAGTCCAAAGAAGCACCTCGACTATCAGAATATAACTTCAGCGCAGATGTTTCCACTATAGTATCGACCATTGGGCGTATCAAAGATACCAGGTGGCCTCGACCTTTGCAGACCGATCCGACCTAGAGAAACCCTAACCAAATATGCAAGTATCATGGCACCTATGGCCATAAAACAGAAGATTGCAGACAACTAAGGGAGGAAGTAGCCCGGTTGTTCAACGAGGGGCGTCTTCAATAATTCTTAAGTGATCGGGCCAAGAACTATTTAAGAAATAGAGATTCAAACAGACAGAACGAGAAAGAAGAGCCATAGCACGTGATTCACATGATCGTTGGAGGGGTCGATATTCCTCAAGGATCGGTATTCAAACGCACCAAGGTGACAATCACAAGAGAAAAACAGACTCGGGACTGCTTACCGGAAGAGACTATGCCTTTCAATGACGAGGATGCAGAAGGGATCAAACAACCTCACAACGACGCACACTGGTTATATCTACCCTTATGAATAAAATTCTAAACGTATGTTGATTGATCCAGGTCGTTCAGCCAATATTATTCAATCAAGAGTTGTAGAGAAACTCGCCCTGCAAGGTTAATTTATGCCCGCAGCTCGAGTACTTAACGTCTTCAACATGGTAAGTGAAACCACCAAAGGGGAAATTATTTTGCCAGTAAATGTGGCCGGGGCCATCCAATAGTTGAAGTTTGGGAGATGGAAAAGTTTGGCCAATAGTTGACTTTTATGATATCGGGGTCAGAATGTGATTACGAGAGTTAGAACAGCTCTGTTATGTCATTTGGGACTTGTCTACAAAATTTAGCGTCGTTCCGGGTTGATTTGATAGGTTTCGACACGGATTTTAGAAGTTGGAAGATTTTAAAGTTCATAAGTTCGATTCATGATGTGATTTCGATGTTGTTTGACGTGATTTGAGACCTCGAGCGAGTCCGTGTTAGGTTATGGAACTTGTTGGTATGCTTGGAGGGGGTCCCGGGGGCCCAGGTGTGTTTCGGACGAGTTTCAAATGTTTTTCATGGTCTAGAACAGGTCTGGTTCTGGTGTCTCGCACCTGCGACACTTTGGAGCGCAGGTGCGGCTCTAGTTCTGCGTGAGCCTGGTCGCTTTTGCGGTCATGAAGGCCTGGGAGCTCGCTTGCGCTGCGGAGACGGGCACGTAGGTGCGAAGGCCACTTTTGCGGTCCAGCGATCGCACCTGCGATGAAGCTCACTTATGTGTCCCTATTTGCACTTCTGCGGTGCCGCTGGTGCGGCTGTAATTCCACAGATACGGATCTAGACCTGGCTATCAGAGTTCGTAAATGCAAACTCTTTCTTGCAAATGCGAGTGCGCGGGTGCATTTCCTTATCAGCGAATGCGGAAGTCCTGGGTAGAATTACATAACTCGAGGGTTTGGCCATTTTCTTCATATTTATTTTTGAGTTTTGGACCTCGATTTTGGAAGCTTCTTTGTGGGTTTTTCAAGAAAATCGATTGGGTAAGTGTTCTTCACCTAGAGTTTATTATATTCCATGATTTTATCTTTATTTTTATCATTTAATCTGTATTTTGAGTTAAGAAAAATGGAGGTTTTTGAAGAAAATTTTCAAAATGGAAAATCATGATTTGAGGGACGAATTGGTATCGGAAATTGATAATTTTACTATGGTTGAACTCGTATTGGAATGAATGTTCGGGTTTTGTGAAATTTGTTGGGTTCTGAGGTGCAGGCCCGGGGGTCGACTTTTAGGGTTGATTTTTTGATTTTGATAAATATTGAGTCTTTATGATCCGGAATAATTTCTTATGAGTTTTAATTGTCCTTTGAAGTTATTATGGTTAGATTTGAGTCGTCCGGAGGTCATTTCATCCGATAAGTTTATTTTAAAGTATCAGTCTGTGTTCTATGAGGTAAGTATCTTGCCTAACCTTGTGTGAGGGAACTACCCCCTTAGGATTTGAGTCTCCTATGCTAATTGTAGTACATGTACGCGAGGTGACGAGTGCGTGTTCGGACTTATTTGTTGAAAGTTGGCCTTTTAGGGTTCTTAGGTTCTTGTATTCACTGAGTATTAAGTTGTTGTTGATATGATTGAGTTTACTATTTACTAGTTTCACCTCTACATGCTTTAATTGGAATTAATTGCTTTATGATTCACTCTTATTGCCTATTTGACTCTTATTTGACTTAACTGAATATTTTTACCTCTTCTATTGCCATGCTATCTTTTTGTAACTGCTTATCTTTATTTGAAATTATTATTATCTCATCCTGTAATTATTTAGTATTAATTGAGGTTATGATTATCCTCCCGCTGCTTATCCTTAATTGAATTTGTTGTATCTTCGTCATAATTACCCAACCTTAAAAGGAGTTTAGATATTCTACATTTAGTTGACATGTTTTTATATGGAATTATTTGACACGTGCTAGCTTCCTTGTTGTTGAACTGTATATTATGGGATCGTCGTTACATATTATTTTCTCCCTTATTGAGCTGTTCTTATTACGCCTAGAATTCTCTATTGTGGTTATTCCTTGTGAACTAGTTCTATCGTTTCCTTGTGATTTAAAGTTTTTGAGCTGATTTACTTGTCGTACTCTTGTATTTATTATCACTGTTGCTGTTGTACTTGTTGTTGTGAGGCACGAGGTTTTTGCTGTGTGGTTGTTATTGTGATGCACGGGGTTTCTACCGTGCGGTTGTTATTGTGATGCACGAGGTCTCTGTCGTGCGGTTGTTATTTTGATGCATGAGGTTTTTGTCGTGCTATTGTTACTGTTGATATTTGCACATGCGGCGTGACAAGGCGGGATATATATATGTGGGTTGCGTATGTGGCGAGACAATGTGGGAATATTGTTATGCACATGTGTCGAGACAAGGCGGTCACTTACTTTATTATTATTGCACACGTGGCGAGACAAGGTGAGCTATGTCAGGGATTGATTTGTGATGGCCTGGGGGTGTTCTTGTTGTCGACATTTGTGTAGTGTTACACTTACCTGTATGAGCTTTATCTTGTCAAAGTTGTGAGAAAATATTCTACGTGTTGTCCGTTCTTTTCCATATGCTTACTAGCTGGTATGAAGTATGTTAGGATACTTACACAAGCATACACGTAGTTAAGCACTCTTGTCGGATAAGAGATTTTCTTGATATTGTTGAGTATAGATGCACACCCTTGTTTACTTGCCTTCTATGTGAGAATGACTCTATTTGGCACATGAGTCGCCAGTGCGGTTATGAGGTTGTAATGAGGGCACAGGATACCAAGTGTTAGGGTTCAGGTATTGAGACCCGTGAGTTGTGATTTGTCCGAGGTTCGGTACCTCGTGGAGTTTGTTGACTAAAACCTGATGTGAAAGCGGTCGTAGTTGCTGAGTTATTACTGGTCCTTGTTGTATCTGTAATTTCTGATTTAGGTTGTATTTCCGTTCACTCTTCTATGTCATTATTATGGTATTTCGCTAATACTTATTGTTTCCTTTCTTATTGCAATTATTGTAGTGTTAGTCATATCGCGTCATTATAGATATCATACTCTGTTGTTCCTATACTTATACTTGTTCAAGTTATTTAGTCCAGTAGGTATCTCGATTGTCGCTCGTCACTACTCCATTGAGGTTAGTCTTGATACTTACTGGGTACCGCTGTGGTGTACTCATACTACACTTTTGCATATTTTTGTGTAGATCGAGGTATCGCGAAGTCAGTTGATCATTAGCTAGCAGCACGGATTGTTGTTGTAGAGACTCAAGGTAAACATGTTGTTGTGTTCACAGGCTTCGGAGTCACCTTCCTAATTTGTATTCACGCTGTTTTTACTTATTTCCAAACAGTTGTATTTAGAAGTAGTAGTAAACTCTGCAAAGCTTATGACTTGTGCCACCGGTTTTGAAAAAATTGTAAATTTTATAGAGATTTCTATTTCAAAGGTTGTTAGATGTTAATTATTATTGTTGTTATTCAGTAAATGTTAGGCTTACCTAGTCCCTAAGACTAGGTGCCATCACAATACCCAACGAAGGGGAAAATTGGGTCGTGACACATATATACTACCTATTATATTATTTTCTTAAGAATTGATAGTGTTTTTCATACATGTAACTTGCAAGCACATCTAATTCCTACAAATATTATTGCTTTTATATACTCATATTTTATATTGATATTTTTTTAATATATATTACTTTATATTTTATAATTTAATTCAATAAAAAATTTGATGTTCTTATACTTCTATAATAAATATTTAAAATTTCTCTTTTTGAAATAATACTAATTGTAAACTAAATCTTTACTGTCTTTTAACGTAATTTGACACTTAAAAGTACTTCTTGATTGGCCAAATATAATTTGCTTATCAACTATCGTCAAAAATACTTCTTAAATGAATTGGCCAAACACAAATAGCTAATCTTCAAAAGTACTTTCAAATAAAAGTATATTTTAAAGTAAGTAATTTTTTATAACTTGACCAAACGGATTCTTAGTCAATTGTAAAAAATGATTTAACTGAAATAAGCTAGGAAGTCTTGTCAAATTCGGAAAAAATAAAAAGGCAACACTAGGAGCCTGTTTGGACATAAGAAGTTTTTTCCTTATTTTTTAAAAAAAAATCAATTTTTTCGAAATCAGCATTTCTTCATAAAATTTTTAATTTTTACTTGAAGATGTATTTTGGAAATTTTCGAAAATTTAAAAAACTCCAAAAAGCTATTTTTCAAAATTTTTTCACTCGATCACTTACAAAACTTCAAAAATAACCCAAAATTATATTCATCTCCAAACACAACTCAAAATTTCAAATATTATTTTCAGTTGAATTTTTTTTTTTGGCCTGTTTATATCCAAACGCCCACTAATAATGGCATCGCACGTCATAAATAGAGTAAAAATAGTTGAAATTGAAACCAGAAATTGCAACTGATAAAATTGCATCAGGCAACATAAATAAACTATAACTAGCAAAAACTACAAACTCTCTTCTCTACCAACCATTTTCCACTTTTGTCATATTACGAGTTGGGTGTCGCATAAAATTTGTCTCTTATGCCATACAAGACATAAAATTTCTAGCGACAAATCCAAGGACTTCTGGTTTACAGGGATGGGTTCTTTTCGTACAGACTACTTTTTCTGCATATTGGCATTGGTATCGACAATTGCTCCTTACAATTCATGGGCTGTAGATACTGAATCCCTAACTCGAGAGCTTCTTGAATCGGCGAGGCAGCCGGAGTTCTATGATTGGTTGAAAAGGGTAAGGAGGAGAATTCACGAGTACCCAGAATTGGCATTTCAAGAACACCGAACGAGTCAACTAATCCGAGATGAGCTGGACGCACTCGGGATCAAGTACCTGTCCCCAGTCGCTAAAACTGGTTTGGTTGGAACCGTTGGGTCAGGTGGTCAACCATGGTTCGGTTTGAGAGCTGACATGGATGCTCTCCCTATTCAGGTCTGTTTTCATTCTCCATCTTCCTAGTTTATTTTTTTTTCCTTCCCCTTTTTAAATTTTGCTCTTTTGAAGGAAGAGTTTTTCTCGGATTGGGTGGCAATTGTTATGCAAAACTTTGATTATTGTATTGCGTATTTATGTACTCAATTTATGCAATGGCGTTTGACTGTGTGGTAGTTGAAGAAAGACAAAAAACTGTTTAAATCTTGTGGTTAGACATTGTGTGATTTATAGGAAGTTTAAAGTTAAATTATTTCTTTGAAATGTGTAATTCTTTGGGGGACATAATAAAGAGTAAAGAGTGTCAAATAAATTGAACGACTATAACATTTGTTGCTTTCTTAGTTCCTATTTGTTGCTTTTTTTTTTTCTTCCCAGTTTGGCCTTTAAGATAAAGTGATGAACAACAACAGTAACAATCCAGTATAATCCCATCAGTGGGGTCTGAGGAAGGTAGTGTGCAGGGGCGGATTTACATTCATGCAAGCGGTGTCATCCCACACCGCTTCGCTGGAAATTACCACTAAATTAAGTATGTAATTAATGATTAAAAAGAGAACTACTTTAAAAAAACAAATTAGGGTGACGCCATTGACAAATAGGGATGTATGGTCCACTGGTTTGATGATCTATTTGTCCTCTTGATGGTTGCGGGTTCAATTCTTAGCAGATGCACCATTGTTTTTTTATTACCTCAAACTGACACTAACCCCTAGTCTCAACCATTCAACAAAGTTTATTAAACGAAATAAAGATAAATAAGCATTAAAAACACCATATAAACTACGAGAAATTGGTCGCTTGTATATATTTTTTTCTAGTGATTCGCTTGTATCTTCGAAAATGATTATATTAATGTATTTGATGTATTTTATAAAGATGTTCATATTATAGTAATTTTTTATGTTCACTTTTTAATATATCGACACCGCTTATCCAAAATTCTGTGTACGCCCCTGGTAGTGTATACGCAGACCTTACCCCGACCCTGAGGTAGAGAGGCTATTTCCGGTAGACCCTTGGCATCCCTCCCTCCAAGAACTCCCCACCTTGCTCATGGGGTGACTCAAACTCACAACATCTTGGTTGGAAGTTGAGGGTGCTCACCACTAGAGCAACCCACTCTTGTTGTGAGATGGAAATAGTATGTCATGAAAAGGAACGGCTTTTGAAATGATACATTTAAGTTTTCTTGAGCCTACACATGCTTGGATAATAAAACTGGTTTGTACCCAATTGAGATATGGTTTGTTGGCAAGTCACTTGTTTCACTTGCTATCTGTGATAGAGTTGGGGCATACTGTGTCAGTGTGCTTAATAGAAAACAAGTAATGTTTCAACTGAACCTTTTGGAGTGCAATACATATACCAATTAGAGAAGTGGAAATCAGTCTCCTTTGGTACCAGGTGACAGATTTTCAGCCACTCTTTGGTTTGAACTTGGATGGTCTAGCATCTGTCCCTTGAAATTACGATTACATGACAGAATTGTCATCATTTATTGCTTAGTTAGTTCACTGCTTGTTACTTCTTTGCATATCATTTATTTGTGCTTTTTTTGAATCTCTATGTAGCGAGTCCATGCATTATAACTTCTAGTGGCTTTGTTGTACTCAACGCCTTTTTTTATGCAAATATATATATGTTTTTTTTTTTGATTAGGTAAGGTTTGATGCTAATATCTTGACATCGTAAATCTCCTGGTTTATTTGGTAAACTGCCAATTTTTAGCAACTTAAGATAATTATATGATGCCTTAGTTTCTTTATGAAGATTCCGCTCCAAAAGTGCCATGTGTCTGTTCTTTCAAACTTATGTGCTCGGATACATAACTAGATTTCCATGCCATGTTAAGTGACAGATAAGTCAGTGATGCTTTTAAGAATCTAGTAAGCAGGGATAATGCAGATGGTGAGTTGAGAAGAAGTTCAAATTCGTGAGTTCAAAATGTATAGCTGGCAATAGTTGTTCTAGTTTGGTGACTACTCCCTCCGGTCCACAGTAAGTGACCAATTTGCTTTTTTATTTTGGTCCAAAATAAGTGTCCATTTATATAATCAAGAAAAAATTCAATTTGTTTTTCTAAAATTACCCTTATGTACGTATCCCTAAAAAGTCATTTACTCCTCACATTTGAGAAGAGAAGTAAGTGCTACTATAACTATGGCGCAACATTTAATTAAGGGTAGTTATTAACACTAACTATTTTCGTCTAGAATTTAGTATTTCCTTAATGGGTGTGCCCAAAGCAAATTGGTCACTTATTGTGGACCGGAGGGAGTATTACTTAAGACATTATTATTTCTCAAGTCCTCACATGTGAGTTGTGACCCCCCCCCTCCCCCCCCCCCCAAACCTTCACCTTTACTTGAAGAAGGAAAAACAAAATCATTGGGAGCACTCTCATTTCTATCAGTTACTTTCCAGTCCGTTCCTTAACAAATTATGTGTGCTAGTAGTAAGAATTCTTCTGCAATGAGTGGAATGAATGAATGAAAGTGTTACTTTGAAGGAATTGGTAGATTGGGAGTATAAAAGCAAGATCGATGGCAAAATGCATGCATGTGGCCATGATGCTCATGTTACCATGCTGCTTGGAGCAGCTAGATTGCTTCAAAATAGAAGGGACAAGTTGAAGGTAGGTACAATCATTATTTTTTGACTTATTCTGTCTTGGTCAAAATTCAATACATTGATTTGGGTAATTTGCATCTGAGCTGAAGGGCACGGTTAAGCTTGTATTCCAACCTGGGGAAGAAGGCTATGCTGGCGCCTCCTATATGTTAGAAGAAGGAGCATTAGATGGGGTTCAAGCAATATTTGGCATGCATGTCTGGCCATATATGCCCACTGGTACTATTGGTTCGAGACCTGGTCCAATTATGGCTGGTGCAGGAAGGTTTACAGCAATAATGCAAGGGAGAGGCGGACATGCAGCAATGCCACATACAACTAGAGATCCAATTCTTGCTGTTTCTATGGCAGTTCTTGCACTCCAGCAACTTGTTTCTCGAGAAACTGATCCTCTAGAGTCTAGGGTATTTGTCACTCTGGTTTCAAACAGTTAATATAATGAGTTTACTTATTCCTTCAGAATCCTGAATTCCATGCAGCAGGATCTAAATTTTGTTTTTTCTTATGTGCAACTACATGCAGGTTGTCTCTGTTGCATTTGTAGATGGTGGTCAAGCTGGAAATGTAATCCCTGCGAGTGTAAAGTTTGGTGGAACGTTCCGGTTCTTGACATTTGAGGATTACTCCTATCTTAAGCAAAGGATCAAAGAGGTATGCACTAGAGCTTGGCCGGTACAAAATCAACTACTACCATCAAGTTTTGGATAATTATTGAATCTCCCTTGAGTTTTTTTTACCAACTGTAGCTTTGATAACCTCTGAAATATCAGGATGCAGAAGTTAAATAGATCGTTTTGCAACAACGTTTGCTTTAATTTTTCAGTTTCTTCAGCATTGCTCATAACATACATTTCTGTTGTATAGTCATCTTTTTTGCTAAATAATAAGCAGATTTAGATGGGCGACACTGAAAATACTTACTACTTGTAGGTCATTGAGACACAAGCAAGTGTACATCGATGTTCTGCCACTATTGATTTTTCCGAAGAATTAATGAGGCCGTATCCACCAACTATAAATGATCTCATGATCTATGAGCATGCTAAAAAGGTTGGAAAAGTCTTGCTTGGTGAGCAAAACGTGCACTATGCTCCAATTACAATGGGTGCAGAGGACTTCAGCTTCTATTCCCAGAAGATGTCAGCTGCATTTTTTAACATTGGGGCACAAAACAAAACGGCCACGTCTGCTGTTAAAGGTTTGCACTCCCCCTACTTCACTATTGATGAAGATGTTCTTCCAATAGGAGCAGCTCTCCATGCTGCTGTTGCCATCTCTTACTTTGATACACATGTTCAGACAGTAGAATAACATGTTGGAGTTGAAGAATCATCTCGTTTGTAAATGAAAAATATAGTGATTTGACTTCTTTGTTAGTGAAAAAGCCTACACGCCTGGTATCTTATCTTACCTATTTATATTTCCAAAAAAATTTAGTTAATTCATGGATTGGAGATAGTTTTAGATGTTAAAATTGCACTGCTGCCCCCCCCCCCCCCCCCCCCTTTAGGGTCTCCAGGATCTCTTAATTTCTTTCTGTTTATGAATATATTTGAATAACATTGCACACAGTTGCTAAATCTTTTTATTTTTTGGTAAAAAATATTCTTATTACAAAATGCAATCTAACGGTTGCTAAATCTTACTATAGTTTACCATAGTTGAACATGTATGTTGAAGAATATGCTGTTCTTTCTGTTTCTTTTATTTTCTTTTGTAAACTATCAAGTACAAGCGAAATGAATGGATCAACAAACCAGTTTTCTGTTATCTATTTAAAACAACAACAACCCAGTGGGATCCTACAAGTGGGGTCTGGGGAGGGTAGTGTGTACGCTGAGCTTACCCCTACCCTAGAGGGCAGGGATGCTGTTAAAGACCCTCGGCGAGAGGAAGAATAGGAATTAGTAAATAACAACAACAATGCCAAAATGATACCAGCAATGTAAGAATAGGAGAAAAACAAATGGAAGAAAGCAGTCGCAATAGCAACGAGCAGTAACACGATAGGGTACTAGAAAACCGAAGCGTAGGATAGTACTAAAACAACCCTAATACTGGCACTCTAAGGATCGAAGACAATGTACTAGTCCACTAGCCCTAATAGACCCGGAACATATCAGAAAGCACACTACGACCTATTACCCTTCTACCCTATTCTTCGACCTCCATACCTATATGTCAAGGGTCATATCCTCGGTAAGTTGAAGTCGGGCCATGTCATGTCTGATCACCTCTCCCAAATATTTATTATCTATTTAAACCGGGGGAAAAACCCAACATAATTCATTTAGCTGAACCGAAGTACACTTAATTATTGACAGTGTATATTGATACTCAATTGGTGAGTATCAGCTGATAGCAATGAAACAGTAATCGAAATAGAAGGGAAAGAAGGAGAAGAGAGGGGATAGAACAGAGAGAAGAGGAGAGAAAGAGAGAGAGAGAGGAACTCAGCCTTTCATATATTTCATAATGTGTGTATACAAATCCTAGGGACTACTTATACAAGCTGAAAATCTAAAAATGCAAAAGGAATGACACAAATTCGAATTAAAAGCTACTAACTGATTTTCCCTCTAAAATTCAAATCTGAACTTAACTAAAATTCAAATGGTAGCCTAACTGATTTTTGACTTTCTTCCACCTTAGCCACTAATATTCGTATCAATACCCCCGGGATGAACAACACCCTTGTCCTTAAGGGTGAAAGAAGGAAAACGAGCCTTCAAAGCAGAGACCAACTCCCAAGTGGCATATGAAGAATCCAAGCCAATCCACTTGACAAGGCATTGAGCGACAACTTTGTTGCCTCGTTTAATCAACCTGCAATCCAAAATAGCCTCGGGAGGGGACAATAGTGGCTGGAAAGGTTAGTAACAGGAGGGTGGATAATAGTGGTAGGGATGTCATAGCAAAACTTGAGTTGGGATACATGGAAAGTAGGATGTAAAAGGACTTCAGGGGGAAGAAGAAGCTTATAAGCCACAACACCAATTTTCGCAATAATAGGGTAAGGACCAAAGTAGCGGGAAGTGAGTTTATGATAGGGAAAAGGAGAAAGAGTAGACTGTCGATAAGGCTGGAGCTTGACAAAAACCCAGTCCCCAACAGTGAACTGCTTATTAGAGCGATGTGCATTAGCTTGAGATTGCATCCTCTGTTGAGCTCGAGTAAGATGGAATTAGCCAACTGGAGTTTAAACTCATGAAGCAAAGCCACTTCCTCAATGGATGGGGAATCAGAATCACCTGGTAGGAATGGTAAATGAAGGGGAGGAGGGTATCCATACAAGAGCTCAAAAGGAGAGGTCTGAATAGAGGAGTGAGGACTGGTACTATACCACCACTCAGCTAAGGAAAGGAAATGGACCCAATCAGTAGGGGAATCAGTGCAAAAATAACGGAGGTAAGTTTCTAAGCAACGGTTGAGAACTTCAGATTGGCCATCAGTCTGGGGGTGATAAGCAGTAGAAGCTTGGAAGGTAACACCTTGAGCTGTGAGGAATTCTTTCCAGGCTACTAATAAAAATAGGATCCCTATCACTGGTAATGGATGCTGGAAAACCATGAAGTCTGAAGATATTATCGAGGAAGATAGGAACTAAGGATTGAGCAGTGTAAGGGTGAGACAAGGCAACAAAATGGGCATGTTTAGGTAGTCGATCAACGATTACCCAAATGACAGATTTCCCTTTGGACTTAGGTAAGCCCTCAATGAAGTCCATGGTAATGTCAACCCAAGGAAGAGCAGGTATAGGAAGAGGTTGCAACAGGCCAGGAGAAGCAGCAGTATCATATTTGTTCCATGACATGTTGTGCATTTGTGAACAAAATCAATAATGTCCTTGCGGATGCCCTTCCAATAGAAGTAAGAGAGGACCTTCCTAGTAGTAGCATCAATGCCAGAATGCCCTCCAGTAGGAGAGGAGTGCCAAAGGGTGAGAATTTTAGTGCGTAAGGAGGCATCGTTTCCAATCAACAGCTTGCCCTTCCTTCTGAGCTGTTGGTTAATCCAAGTCATGTGCTTTTGAGGGTTATGCTGGAGGGAAGAAGTGAAAGCAGCAAGCTCAGGATCAGTAGACCAACTAGCTCGAATTTCATGCCAAAGATCAGTTTGGACAGAGCTCATTAGTAAAGACATGAGCTCAGCACCTTGGACTCGAGAGAGAGCATCTGCAACAATATTGTCCTTGCCACATTTATACTGAACTTCGAAATCAAAAGGAAGGTATTTGGCTAACCACCTGATCTGAGAATCAATGTGAAGCTTCTGTTCCAAAAGGTATTTTAAAGCCTTTTGATCAGTCTTCACGATCAAATGACGACTGAGCAGATAATGAGACCATTTGGTTACAGCAAACACCAATGCTAAGAGTTCTCGTTCATAGATAGAGAGAGCCATATGCTTAGGAGCATGACCCTTACAAATAAATGCTATAGGATGATCAGACCGCATCAGTACATCACCTATGCCAGCTTTACTTGCGTCAGTTTCCACAACAAAAGGCAAGGAATAGTTGGGCAATGCCAAGACTGGGGCAGATGTGAGGGCTTGTTTGAGCTTAGCAAACGCTTGTTCAGCAGAGGTAGTCCAATGGAAGTTATCCTTCTTGAGTAACTCAGTGAGAGGCCTACTGATTAACCCATAGCTTCGAATAATTTTCTGTAATAGCCAGCCAGCCCAAGAAAACCCCTCAGCTGTTTGACAGTAGTTGGAACATGCCATTGTTGAAAAGCTGCTATCTTATTGGGATCAGTAGCTACACCTTGAGTAGAAATAAAATGACCCAAGTACTCAACACTTGGAACACCAAACACACATTTGGATTTCTTAGCAAGTAACTTATGTTGCAACATAACCTCAAATACCTGCTGTAAATGATGGACATGATCAGCTGAGGAGATGTTGTAAACCAATATGTCATAAAAAAAGACCAGCACAAACTTTCTCAAAAAAGGGAGGAACAGATGATTCATCAAACACTGAAAGGCCGATGGTGCATTTGTCAGGCCAAAGGGCATAACTAAGTATTCATAGTGGCCCGTGTGAGTCTTAAAAGCAGTCTTAGGGACATCCTCAGGTACCATTCTGATCTGATGGTACCCAGATCTAAGGTCAATCTTAGAGAAAATGGAGGCCCCTGATAGCTCATCAAGTAGGTCATCTATAATGGGAATGGGAAATTTGTCCTTGACAGTGCAATGGTTCAGTTCTCTATAATCTACACATAATTGCCATGAACCATCCTTCTTGCCCACCACCACTACAGGAGATGAGAATGGACTATTGCTATATTGGATAACCCCCTACTGCAGCATTCCCTTTACTAGTTTCTCAATGATATCCTTCTTCATAGAAGAATACCTATAGGGTCGAATATTAATTGGTCTAGCCCCAGGTTGCAATGGAATCCTATGATCAAAAGCACCTCTTTGGGGTGGTAGAGTGGTAGGCTCAGCAAAGATCATACTATAATCAGTAAGAAAATCATGTAAGACCTGTGATTCTGGCTCATTTGCTGTTCAACTGAATGACATTCAGTTGAACAGGCTGGGATTGTTCAACCAAAACTTGCAGCATAAAGAGTTCCACATCCTCCCCATTGAACTTATTGACAGCTTTTGGGCTTGAAATTTTGCAGGCATCAGTAACTCCCTTCAATACATGTTGTTTGCCCAAATAGTTGTAAGTCATGGTGAGGGCAGAGTAGTCCATAGTTACTAGTCCAAGAGTCTTCATCCATAAGGCACCTAATACCAAATCATATTTTCCAACTGGAAACACAATCAAATTAGATTCATAAGTTGTACCTTCTAGCATCCATTGGGAGGTCCTCACTATGCCAGATGTGGCCTCCATTGTGTTGTTGCCTAAACTGACATATCCCACCTTAGTTGGAATTACAGAACATCCCAACCGCTTGGCTGATTCAGTATCAATGAAATTGTGTGTGCTGCCTCCATCCAATAGAATTTGAATAGGTCTTCTATCACTATAACCAGTAACATGGATAGTTTGGGCACCTTGAATTCCTGTTAAAGCACATAATGAAATAAAGGGTTGTTCAGTGCTAGGGGAGGAACAATCATCACCAGGTGGCTCACTATCGGGGCTGCTAATTACATTGTCAACAGATTCAGTCTCTGCTACCTCCAGTTCCAACATAAACATTTGTTTTGGGAGAGTACACTTATGTCCAGGAGTGAATTTGTCATCGCAGAAATAACAAAGGCCTTGAGCTCTTCTGCTTTGTATCTCAGCAGGGGAGATAGTCCTCCTAGCTTTAGGAACAATTGCAGCATGAGCAATAGAGTTCATTCTAGTTGGCTGTATAGACTGATGATTTTTAAACCCTGTATTGTCATAGACAGACTTCCTAGTTGATGAATAACTCCCAGTTGACGTGTGTTTCAAAGCCCTAACATTGGCAGCTAAGGT